GAGCGGTTCAGGTCCCCCACAGGAACCAGATCCTGTAATTGTGAGGCTTCCTCTAGTTGACTGAAGAAGACTTCATCTGCTTGCTCTTCTTCATCAGGCAGTCTGAAGCAGGTGCTTACCATGATGTCACCATGTCAGTCTCATCTCTTATTCTTACCCACCAACTCTCTTGACTGGTTTGTGAGTCTCTTGCCTGTTCCAAGATAAACCTTCATACATTTAATTGCTTAGGCTAGAATGCATCTCGTCCTCCCTACCTTCCTAGTCTTTCTAAAGAGTCTGCATGCCTCCATCACAGCATTTGAGCCACACAAACTATCCCATCATACCTCTGTTCTCTCACTGAGATCATAGCTCCACAGACCTTTTGTTCTTCTTTTTTGTTTCCCATTCTTCGTGCATTTGTGCACAAGCACTTGAGATAGTCCTCCAGTCATGCTTTTTTCACAAAGAAAGTGTGAGTCTCTTCCAGTATGCTGTCCCCTGGCACCTCCCTATTGCCTCCTCTTCCCAGCAAACATAGTTTAGAGTCCTCCTTGCTAGGTTAGCAAGGGTGTTGGCAAAGATTGTCTTGCACCACTTTGTCATATGAATCCCAGTTGTCCTTGTTCCTCAGAGATCATCCTGTTTTTATAGAAGCTAAAGCCCTGCCTACATTACTAGCCACGCAGCCAGACATTGACCTGGATAATTCATTGACTGCTACCTGAGTCTGTCCCTATTACAAGCAAGATCTAGGAGAAGCCCACATGGCCCCCCATGCTCTTCATCATAGCCTTCAGAGCTCTGTAATTACTCTTGATACTCTGAAGGTTTCATTTGGCAGTTTCATTTGAGTCTACATGGATGGCAGCAAAAAGTTTAAGGGACAGATGAGCCATGTCTGCCCTGGCAAGCAACAGACCTCTGAAGATGCTAAATCTAGTTGGTGGATGGTTGCCTCTGGTCTCCCAGGAAGACGTTTTTAAGCTCTATTGTAGTTAGAAAATTAGTATTAATATTTTTATAATACTGTTTTCAGCTTCCAATAGTGAAGTGTTTCTACAGTCAGGTTTTCTAACTATGAGCCTACCATGGTCAATACTCCCTTTTTTCAGGAGTATATCAGTAATACCCACAGCAGCTGCATATAATAACAGAGCTCAAGCAGAAATCAAACTTCAGGACTGGGACAGTGCTTTGCAGGACTGTGAGAAGGTACTAGATATGGAACCTGGCAATGTAAAAGGTAAAGTAGAATATGAACTTGCCCTTCTATGTATTATTCTATTTCTATTAGCAAATGGTACATTTTACATTGTTTGATTTATTTTAAATTTATTTTTATTTGTTTTATATATTTTATTATTCTATTTATTTATATTCTATTTTATTCTATTAGCAAATGGTACATATCCGTTCATGTTTTTATGAAATGTTATGAAACAAAGTCATGTTGACTTCATTGAGCTTTAGATCAAGTCCAAGTATAAAGAAGGAAACAGGGTAGCTACCCAAAGTAGTAGGAAAGTTTTATGCAGTCCATCCTGTTGATCTGTAATGCTTATTCTTATGCAGTAGCATGGGGCTAACTCTTGTTTTTTTATGTGATGATTATATGCCCTCTTGTATTCATGCAGTGCATTGTTTCCATAATAACCACGCTGAAGTATTAATTACCTTAAAAGCACTGTGAAAACAATGAAAGTTGCTGATTTAATCCTTTCTGAAGTTAAGGGATTGAATGTAGCTAACTATATTTGCATGGGAGGAGAGGGAAAATTGGAAAAATGCGAAGCATCTTTTCATCATTCATGATCATAGAATCATTTAGGTTGGAAACGACCTTTAAGATCATCAAGTCCACCTGCCTAACCTAGCACTGTGAAGTCCACCACTAAACCCCATGTGAAATTGCATTGTTAAAAATGATCAAGAGAACAGTTACTACTAATATAGAGTCATTATGAAGTAAATACAGACTTTAAAAAACTGTTTCATACTTAATATGTCTAGAGAAAAAGTGTATTGTTGTCCGCTTTATGCTTTAAATATGTAAATAATACACTTTGTTCCTTTGTAGCTCTGATGCGCCGTGCCACTGTACATAATCAGCTGCAGAATTACCAGACAGCTATAGAGGATCTGAATAAAGTATTATGTGTTGAACCAGAAAATGCTATAGCTAAGGTAAAGATAAATGAGTTGAGTATGACTAGAAAAAGGTTTTATGCAGTTGTAGCATAGAGTGAGTACAGTTTATATTGTTTGAGTTGATTCTGAGTTTTGAGGACACACTCGATCTACTGTGCCAATGATCAGTTTCCCAAGACTACATAGGTGCCTGTGGTGGAAATTAGGTACTTGAATGTGATCAGGTCTTCTGTTCTTTACTTAATTGTGAGAACCTGTAAACACTCCAGTTGTCTCTATTAACATAATTTAGGTGCCTAAAATTTTGTTACTGAACATGCTTACAGTATTAGTGTCTTAGCTGATCAAAGTTATTTGGAAATTTCTCTCAAAAATATCCTTTGGGATAGGTGTTTTTAAGTTTGACACATCTTCACAAGAAAAATTCAAAAGAGATGCCAAGCTTTTATTGTTGTAGTGGTAAAGTTAACAAAAAATGAGAGGACCTGGGTTTTGTCCTCACTTCAGCATGATGTTATAAATCCTCATTTCTCACCTCCAAGCTACAATGAAAAAACTTTTATACTTTCTGATGAATCTGGACCCTTCTTAGCCAATTTTGGATCTAAGAAAGCAGCATACTTTCTTTGGAAACTCAATGTCAGGATGTGGTCCTTGTACTATTATTACTTCAGCTATTTAGGAGAGGATTGATTTGCATTTAATTTCATTGGTATCTTCTTAGGGGTGTTTTGTGGGTTAGAACCCAGTCCTTGCATTTGAACTCTACATGTCCTGAGAATCTAGGCAGTTCTAATACGAAACTGCTCTTTGCCTGTTAATTAGGAGTCCACTGTACTGCTACCCTCCCAATTTTTTTACGTATGACTTCTGGATGCTGTGAAATTGCCTCATCACCTGAATTCTGTTCAGCTCCTATTGTTAGCACATTTTGAGCTGCTAGCATCTTGGCAATCGCTACATCTTTCATGGAGTTATTTGGTCACTGCTGTTGCTTGCACCAGTGAGAGAGGTCCAAGCTTGTTACATCAAATTCATCACATACCGCATTCGTCCCTTTAAGGGTGTTCTAGGAGCTAGATTCCTGTCCAGAATAGTTCCTGAGTTTCACATCAACTAAGGAATCAACGTGCCTACTTTTTTTTCTTTTTCCCCCTTTCTTTCTTTTTAAACACCTGTCTCTAGATTTGAGTTCTAAAAGAGCTTTTGGTTGTTTTTTTCCCCTATTTATAAGACTGAAACACTAAATAGCTTGTGAGTCTGTGTTGACAAACTCCACAACAGTCTTTGTGAAAAGATTATCCAATAGTCTGTGCTGAGACTTCTTATTATACCACACATAAGATACTTACTCATTTTGAGTACACTTTTCCAGAGATCCAAATACATAAGTAGCTTTACTAAGCAATGCTTGTGTAGCTGAAAGCAGATGTCTGTACTTTGTCCTTATTTGTGCCAGCTATTATGCCTTGGCTGAGACATCTAGAGGTGACAGATTGCTTCATAGGGCATTTTTTGAGTTGCTCTTTGCTTGGAGGATCCTCAAAACCCTCTTGAGCTAAATATGAATGTATGGAACACATGCAGAGTGAACGTGTATGTGTGGAGTCACTAAAATAAAGGTAAATCGCTTGTCAGTAACTGGAATTCTTCAAGGTACTTTGTCCACATGAATCTTTGCTTGTTCTATCTGTTACAGCATTGAATTCAATTCAGAATAGTGCATAATGTTGGTTGTGTCTTACTCTGCTCTGAAAGTGTAAAGTGCAGTTGGAGTATTTTTAGTGAGTAATCTAAAAAAGTGTATGGACTTGAGAGGCTGTTTGATCATCTAATTTGTAGCTCTTACAAGAGGAGCAAACCTTTCCATTATTCAACAGTGTCCTTTTGCTACACTGCTAAGAAGTTGTTGTCTCTTGTGGTTCTAGTTCTATCAGTGTCACTTCTCGATTAGGTATCCATCAGACACTGCATTCTCCATAGCATAAATTTTGCTAAACTGATTTTAGGCTTTTTCAGAGATTCATGAAAGAGCATGTTTTCCACGTCTCTTCTGAGTAGACCAGATATCACAATAGTACACCCTACTTTTTTTCCTTTTAATTTAATTTATTTTTGCTTAAGCAGTTCATTCCAGAAAAGTACTTACTTATTTTGTGTTATCTTTTGAGTTTCTAAGAGACAGACATTGAGTGTTAATTGAGTTGGTTTTGATACTGACTCTTGGAAAAGTCACGTTTATTTTCTGTTTTTATAATGGTAACATATGTCTCAATAGTTCTTCAGGATCTTATGTGGATTATTTAACAGAATATATTTTCTGGATATAAATTACAATTGCCTATAGAAAAAGGCTTCTGCTATTGCTCTTTTTTCTCTGTTGCAGAAAAATTTGCTAGAGATTGAAAAGAAACTGAAATGTTTAAAGCCTGTATTTGAGACTCAAGGCAAAGGAACAAGAATACTTATTCAAGATATAGAGGATTCAGAAGGTGATGAAGAAAGAGGGGAAAATACAGAAGAACGTGAAAGAAGTGGAGGAGATAAAAGTAATGTCATGTCATTTCCTATTTAATTTTAACCTGAGGAAAAAATAATTGCCGTTGATATTGCAATGTTTATTCACACAGTTCATCCATATTTGCTTGCAAAGAATTTTGCTTGTTTGAAGACTAAAATTACATTCAGTACTTAAAGTAGATCTGCGTGTGAAATCTAGAATCCAGTTTTATTACACATCTCTGGAATTATTACTAGAAAGTGTGTAACAGAGACCAATTTAAAATCCTGCTATAAATCATCTACCTCCCCGTGTCCTGTGTAATTTTATACGTATCCTTTGATGTGGACCCAGTCAGGAATTTCTTCTGGTGTTAGAGAACATTTTTTTATTCCTTAGCTCTTTCTCTTGCACAGCTCTCCTGCCTTCCCACCATCACATTCTTCTTCTGCATTTTTCCTCCCTTGATTGGATCAAAGGGTGTAAAAATCATCGTGGCATGTTATTTGATTTTTTGTTGTTGTTTGTTTTGAAAACTATCGATCTTTTTTTTGTTTTTAATTTAAGAGATCATCTGTATGCTCCAAAAGTATATGTTAGAGTGAAACAATGTGTAATTCTTGTACTATATGTATTTTACAAGAAGTTGAAGTGCAGCTCCTGTTCGTGGATTAGTGTGTGTGACTAACTGCAAGAGTGCTGAGATGAAGCTACTGGCCTAATCAGAATACATGACTTGCAGGAGGAAGTGAGGCAGCAGGGCCTATTTGGGCTTGCACTGGCAGGTTGCTTTTAGATTCAGCTGCATGTCTGGGCTCCAACTTGTAACAGAATAACGTCCTTGGGTTCAATCCCACCCTTTCTCCTTTCTGTTGGTTCTTTAAGGTAATGTAGCATGACTGTGGCTTTTGTGTTTTCTGTGGCCTATATAGTACTTTATCTTGAAATTAAATCAGCCTGTGTGTTTTCCAATTTCATTGTGAATATTAGACTGTACATGTGTGATTTAATAATGCATTATTTGGACACAAATTTAAGGAAAACACATTTTTCAAAATCAGTAGGTATCCACTAAGTCTTCTCAACTCAAACCCTGGAAGAAAGGATGGATCACGTCCCTAGCCTTAAATATTAGTTAATTCAGGGTTGCTTTCCATTGGGAACATTCAGATGACTAAGTGCCTTCTAGCTCCATAGGAAGACTCCCATTCTGTTGATTGAAGGTTAGGCTTTTAAACACAGGGGAGATTGTCAACATGTGTTCATGTGATAGACGTAAGTGTTTTTGAGATTTAGGAGGCAAGCATCTTCATAGATTACTCTGTGTTTTAAAGTACAGCTGGAAACAAATACGAAATCAGTTCATTTATTGAATAAATCTGATCTGTTCTGTGAACCTAATAGCAGTAAATAGACTAAGCATCTTGTATGTCTTCTCTATACATCTAAGTCATGTAGTTGTGCTCAGTCCAGTAGTCCATGTAGGCCAGTCATGTAGTCATTTTTTTTCACATTCTAGTTAGTAAGCCTCATGCATTCCAACCAAACATATAATTTAGAAATTGGAAGAAAACCAACAAAATATTTTTTGTTTTCTTTAGCTATGAAGAGTTGATTTCTCAGCTTTGAACAGAACAGTCTAAATAAAGATTGTAGTCTCTCTTCCTCTGCTATGTATCTAAAAGCAAAAGTAAATAAAATTTTTTTCATACAATAGAAACAAAAAATTGCTTACATCCTAGAGACTGTAAAAACTAGTATTCAGGCACTATAAAAACTAAAAATCAGGTATGTACTTGACAAAGTGCCTGATATGTTGACGTGTTTATAGAACTTATCATCTCAACTGATAAATATGGTTTAAAGATAAATAAAATAAATAAATTTTTAAAAGCCACTTTTAATTAATAAAAAGAACTGAATTGTATGGTACTCGATCTATTACAATAATTTTAAAAAATACTGTAGCAAAGAGTTCTGAAATTTACTAAATAGTTATTCATAAAAAGGAAAATGCATTTATACAAATAAAGTCTGTTACCTTTAAAATTATTATTTCTCAATCCATTATTGCTAAATTTGACAACACATCTCTCTAAAAGATGTACTTTGAACACACACAAGAAACCTCATAACAGACAAAGCTATGTTTTTTAAGTTGACTGTGGAAAAAGATGTTGCCTAGAGAGTGTTTTCTTTGTGCATTATTTATTACGCTTTAGAGATGAAGAGAATATTCATCTTCTGGATGAGACCTTTTGCCTGATTGAGGACATATATATTTCTTATTTTTGTATGTGGCCTGCTGTTTTGTGCACCTTGAGATTGCTGGTTTGGTATGCTGACACTTGGTATTGAAGTATCAAAGCACCTCTTTTTCCTTTGTGTTAAATCCTTCATCTGACTTCCAGTTTTGCTGCCTATGTGGTGTTAAATTTACTTGATGCCACAGCAGTTGGGTACAGAGAATTATTTTGTGATTTTTTTACAGTTGGTTTTCTACTTGATAGCACCAAATTGAGGTCATTGTCATTGAACATGACAGTATTGTGATTTGGAATCATTCTTAGATTGAATAGCATCTCCTTATATCATTCTGCTATCTTGTGACTTTGTTTTCTTTCACTAGATCATCCTTTTTAGGGAATGTTGTTAGGAGCTGAATAGATAGGAAAACTGTTTCTGCATCCTTGATGAATTATGTGCTGTGTTCCCAACTGGGCTTGACTATGTATCATGGTGTCTCTGAAGTAATGTGCTTTCTGCCCTCAAATAAATGGAGCTGACATCCTAATGAGTGATTTACAGCTTTCCAAAACAAGTAGGGGTTGATAACACTCTTTGAATTTCTCTTGTTGATTTTCTAAACATGTTTTATGAAATTGACATCTTCACATAAAACTGGATTCTTTGTCTTTACATTTTTAATTTTTCTTGAATTATTCCATGTGGAATAATGAAACATTTATTTGATGTTACAGATAATTCTTCAACATATGTGTTAATGTTTCATGGCTTTTCTCAGGGAACAGTGAGTAAGGTCTTAGATTTGCGTTCTGAAGTTTCTGATTTGTTGAGAAGCAAAGTGTATTGGGTAGGAGACAATTAGAGCTCTTTCCCACTCAAGTGATCAGTTGTGCTTGCTGTTGTATTTTTGTCATTCCTGGTATTGCTTTTCTGTTCTCCTTCACCACTGAGGTTCTGAGATAATTGAGATGTCTGTTGGTTAATGCTTACTATATCCTCTATGCCATATATGATTTCGCAGCTGTCCAAATCTTGTAGTAAAACAGAACTTTACTGTAATAGGAAGTTTCTTTGCCATTGTAGCCTTGAATAATTGACTGTCTGGTCTCCTTGTGGTTAGAAGCCTTAATGATGAGGTCTTGTATGAGGACGTTTGGCCAGTTTGTTGTCCAATGTAATAGTTATTCTGTATTCCTTGATATTCCTTCCAGTGTGCTTGTTCATTTGCTATTTTTTGTTTTTAGAATTGTAAACTCTCTGAAGAAAGAGCTGTCATTTATAATTGATTTGTACAGTGTCTAGCACAATGGGGCCCAACCTACTGTGGCTTTTAGGCTCTATTGCAAGCTAGCGATATGAAAATTTAGATAATGTTAAAAGAAACAGCATTGAAAATTAACTCTAGAATTGCATTTGTAGGGCATATCCTGAAGTTAAAAACCCCCTCAATTACAGTGTCAGTACAAATGTTGACTAGTACATCTTTATTCATTCTTTATGAACAAAGACTGCTCCTAAGAAGTCAGAGATCAGAGTTATTTGAGAAGTCTGTTCATTATATATTCTGGCTCAGAACAATCTAGGTACAATCTCAATCAGCTAAACCAAGAACACATAGTACAAAACAGGTATTTGCTGACCATGTGTGGCACAAAAGTAAAAAATCATTTAAAATGATTAAAAATTAATCTGTGCAGATTTGGACCATTCCAGTTGCCTTCATATGTAGCTAGCCCAGAGTGGATAAAAGAGTTGAAAATGTTTCCTGGCTTCATAATAGGTGAATTCATTGTGAACTGAAGTTAGATATGTTGCTTTTCATTCTGCTACCACTATTTTTGTGCCATGCTTCTGGAGGAGAAATACTTTGTGTAGCCAGAAATTAATTTTAAATTAAAGATGATGTCATTCATTACAAAAAATATTTCAAAGATTCCTTTTGGAGTGTTCAGTAGCTTTTGTTTTATGACAGTCCTTCCATTTTCAGTTCATTATTTTAGTACTAACATGAATTAGAATTCTTTCTAGTTTGTATTTGTTGTCATTCTGCTCAAAATCCTATCCATACTTTTCAATACCTTTCTTTAACTTTTCTTTGGAATTTATAATGTATCTAGACTTTTTTTTTTTAATTTCGTAAATGCTGATTTCTTACGGCAAAGTCCAGAATACTGCTTTCATGAATACATTTCTCTGTAGGGAGCAATACAGGAATATTGTATATGTTATAAACACTGAAACTGAAAGACAGTGAGAATTAGATTAGAGAAATATATCTGTACAATTTTGTGCATGGTGTTTACTCAGTCCGGAAATACTTAGGCAATTAACATAACCTGACAGCTAACCAAGTTAATTATTAGTATTCTTATTTTCAGGGGGACTCCAAATGCTATAAATGTTTCCTGTTTAATCCAGGATTGGTTGTGTGCACTTCATCTTCAGGAAATTTTCTCCTGTATTCAGGAAATGACGTTCGTGTTAATGACATTCACATTTGCATCACACATTATCTGCCTTTCTTGCTTTTTCTTTGTCTCTAGAAATTCTCTGTAGAATTTTTTCAAAAAACTTGTCCTATCACCTGTTTGTCTGTGACATTTAAAATTGTATCTCCCTTTTTTTTTTTCAGTAGAAGGTATACAGAGTATTCTCTGTTTTGGTGGATGTAAAAGAAAAGTATTTTAGCATCTATCTTAAGGAAATTATTATTATAGTACTACTTTCTTCATTCATCTGCTCAGCTCGTCTTTTACCCTCATTGTCCCTACTAAATAGACTTTAAATCTTTTTGGCATAGTTGGCACTGCAAAATTTGATGGATAGACTGACAGATGGACGTATAGAAGTCTCAAATATAAATAATTTACCTTAAGTTTTATAAAAATGTCTGTGTGGGTAGAATAGATTTATCCTATCATTGTCCCCACTGTGGACTATGAACTTATTATCAAACGTGGTATTTCAAAACACAGACCACAGCTAGGAAGGATGCAGTTGGAGCTTTTTGTCCATCTGGCTCTAGTGAATCTGTTGTTTTTAAAAATCATATGCTTTCCCATCCTGTTCAGTTTGATTTCAGTAACATTTTGTGCATTAAAAAAATAATTTCTGTAATTTGGAACAACCTGGAGTTCATCCATATTTAGTCAACTTCAGAAGTTTAGTTTGAGTCAATTGGAAGTCTCTCTCCAACATATGAAGGCATGAAATAATTCCGCTGGACAGATGAGCACATCAAGTTAAGGCAAGGTGAAACCCCAGCATCTTAATTAATAGTACCAAAAGAGAGAGCTGCCTTTGTGGGACTGGTAGTATCAAAAGGCAGGCTTTCTGCTGAAAACTGTATTTGAATACCGTGGTGGTAGTCTGTTAGGAATTCAGGTGAATAAGGAGTTTGTATGTTAATATCTGATACCTTTATTGTATGATTTTTTCCTAATTAAATTAGTAATAAATAGTAGTGAAAGTTGAACGGCCAGAACTCTCTATAAAACGCTTTTTGACATGTTTAAATGAAACCTTTTTTAAGAATGAGTTGTACGCTTTTATCCCTCCTATTCTATGTTGTACTTGAGGAGAGTTTTGAAGTGTGCGCCATTACTGGTTTGTTAGCTGTTAGCTGTGTGGCCTAATTTTAACATGCAAGCATTTTGATTTGGTCATGGAAAATCAAAGTATCAATATTGTAATAGCCAGTATTTAAAGAGTTAATTTCAAGGTGAACTCTGTACCATTCTGACACTACAGAACAGGGGTTTACAGTGTCCCAGCAAGAGGACATGAGATTTCATAGTAATATCTTCTCAGTAATAAGTGCAAGTTACCTGTCAATAGGATTTTTTTCTTGGAAGCATCTTCCGGGACAAACATATCTTGGAAACATTAGGATGCTCGAAGGATTTGGTACGATGTTCTTTGGCTGTGCACCCCTCTTTTGCCAGGACAATAGTTTCTTCTGATGATGCAAGCTCTTAACTCCGCTCATTAACTTCCTCGTAGAAATTGGCGTGCCAGTAAGAGGAGAGGCGGCTGCCGAGGAGGCTGAGATGGGGAACGCGCACAGAAAGTTTCATGGCAAAGGAGGTGGTAGTAAGGCGGAGGACGGGGAGACTCAGAAGCAGAAGGAAGCCCCTGAGAGCGCGTTAAAAAAAGGCACATCAGAGAAACAACTACAGAAGCATTTGTCAGACCATGAAGGTGAAATTAATGGCTATTTATACAGTGATCAAAAGTGTGAAAGCCCTGAAGTTGAGAAGATCTCCAGATCGCATGAAGCAGGGTCTCAGTCGGCTGATGGTGGTGGCAGTTCTACTTCACTTCCTCCTACTGCAGCAAAACTAAAAAGTGAAGGAAACGAGTTATTTAAGAGTGGACAGTTTGGAGAAGCTGTGCTCAAATACTCGGAAGCAATTGAGTATGTCGTCGGTCTGGGTGAGTGCGATACCTTATACTTAAATCTAGGATTATTGTTTAGATTATTTAAAGGAACTACAAATGAACTGACCTAGCCTATCCCTGGATTTTTGGAGGAGTTACTGTGCGGTAAATACTTTGTCATTGTCAGTAGAGGATAATTCACAGGATACAAAATATAGGAAGATGAGTGAAATAATCTTTTGACTTGCTTGGGGTAGAGGTGTTTGCTTTTATTGATGTGTTTGGATAATTACATATTCTAGGTTACGTGATAAAGGAAAGCTCCTTTCAGCTTTGCATTGTCAGCAAACTGCATCACTGCACTGCAACTTACAGTATGCAAGTCTTTAATTATTGAATGTCATTTTAGTAATGGTCTCTGATTTTAATTGTAACTTCTTTTAGGAGAACAAAGTCCAGAGGATTTGAGTATCTTGTACTCGAACAGAGCAGCGTGTTACCTCAAAGAAGGCAACTGCAGTAACTGCATTCAGGATTGTAACAGGTAAATTGCAACTTCCCATGTAGATCAACAACATTCCTGATGATGATTAAACATTTTAACTGACATATTGTTATTGCAGTTTGACTTAGAACAATCTTCACTAAAGTCTGATTCCCTGTCTAAATGACACATACCTTTACCAGTATGTAAACAATCACACAGAACTTAGAGAAGGAGTGAGTTTTAACCTAGTGTGTTACTGTGTGAGGGCAGTCGTTAGGCTTCTTGTGTATGCAGAAATGCATATCAGGGTTAAAATGTTTAATATAAAAACAGGCTTACTTCAGTGATGCTCTGTAGTAACTTATATGTAAAAGCTTTGTTAAGCCAGATACTTATCACAGTGCTGGAAGTTGCTTTCAAGCATGTGTATGGTGTATTTGTGTGTGTTCCCTGTGTTTGGTTTGTTGTTTTGATTTGTTTTTTTTTAAATATATACTTGGCATAGTTATAAACGGTAATCACAGTTGTTCAGGGATTGAGCTAAAATCCTTTCTGCTTATTGTGGCTTTTAAGGATACAGGAGTTAGAGAGGATCAGACACCTCCAATAACTTCCAAACACAGCCTTCCACTAAGTTGTTGCTGTATTTCTAGATGTCTTTTTTTATATTTTCATAGATAGGGTTAGTAAGTCTAAGGCTTAAGGTGCAAAAAATGATCCTGAGACAGTTAGAAAACATACTAATTAATCAGTTGGGCTTTTTACAGCGCAACTGTTAAAAAAACAAAAAACCCCAACAAACTAAAAATAAAATATGCATGTAACTTTGTATTAATTAAATATTTTACTTGCTGTATATATTCTACCTGACAGAAAAGTTTTCTGGAAATGTCATCTGAAAAAATTGACTTGTTAACAGTATTTTGTTAAAACAAATGCGGGACCGTAGACAGCTGGCTAATAAAACAAGATGGCCTACTTAAAAGCCATCATGTTTTTCTATTCAGGAGGTTTGAAGTATGTAAGACTTAAACTGAAATCAGTAATACAGAGGTTCTCAGTTTTGTATTCTTCCTGATTGGAAGCTTATTTTCTTACTACTTAATGATAGTGTCCTTAATGTTGTGCATATTTTCTGGATACACAAGGACCCATGATGCTTAGTGAACACAAGAGAGGTAGAAATAACTTGGAGACTGGGAAGGAGTCCTACAAAACTGCAAGCACACGTGAATTAGGCAATGTCAATTAAATCTTCTCTAGGCAACACAATATAAAGGATGATGTACAAACAGGTTACTTGATTTCAGAGTAAAAAATGGTGTGGTGCTTATATTCATGATATAGAAATAAGTATTGAACATTTATTAAATATTAGCTATTTAGGGCGTAGAAGTATATCAAAAACCTCTGTTGGGTCTCTCTTTGTCTCAAGACTCTGATTTGGAATGCCTTTGATTCTTGTTACAGAGAGTGAAATAGAGCTCCTATGCACTAATGTTAATTTATTTAGTACTCTGTTGTCATTTGGTCTCTGGATGTATTGCCTTTGCATTCTACCGTGGAAATACAGTTGTCCATTCCCGCTCATAGAATCATGGAATCTTTGGGTTGTAAGGACCTTTAAAGGTCATCTAGTCCCCTCCCCCTGCAATGAGCAGGGACATCTTCAACTACACCAGGTTGCTCAGAGCCCCATCTGACCTGACCTGGAATGTTTCCAGGGATGGGGCATCTACCACCTCTCTGGGCAACGTGTTCCACTGTTTCACCACCCTCATTGTGAAAAATTTCTTCCTTATATCCAGTCTAAATCTGTCCTCTTTCAATTTAAAACCATTACCCCTTGTCATGTTGCAACCTGCCCTGCTAAAAAGTCTGTCCCCATCTTTCTTAAAAGTCCCCTTTGAGTACTGACAGGCTGCAATAAGGTCTCCCTGGAGCCTTCTCTTCTTCAGGCTGAATAACCCCAACTCCCTCAGCCTGTCCTCATAGGAGAGGTGTTCTATCCCTGCTATTCTTCAAGCAGTGTCGTCTTCCGCAAAATTTATTTATGCATGTTTTTTTCTTCATTCTCTATGTTAGGAACCTGACATTGCGTTAATACTCCTCTAAGTTACAGAATGTCAAGGATTTTTGCAGAGGTTCTGTAGGGGCTATGATGTTTTGCGTTGTATTTTTTCAAATGCATTCAGCAACGTGAAGAGAAAAGGAATTCTGGACATATTTATGAAATGGAAATTGGAAACGTTTATTCTAGAAATCATTGTTTCCCTAGCTTTAGGAGGAGTACTGGTGCAAAGCCAAGTTGCAGCAAAGAAGGACAGCAACATCCTGGGTTTATAAACAGGAGCACCAGTGGATGGAGGGAGGTGATTATGCCCTTGCAGTCAGCACTTGTTAGACAACATCTATGATAACTGTCAGTTTTTAGCTTCCCCAGTGCAAGAAAGATAGTGGTCAACTGGAGTGAGTTCAGTGAAGTGTCACTGAGGTGGTTTTGAACTCTGGAGTGCTTGCCTGGAGAGGAGAGGCCAAGGGAGCTGGGTTTGTTCAGCTTAGAGAAGAATGGCTTCCAGGGGTCCTAACAGCAGCCTGAGAGTGCCTATGGGGAGGTTATCCAGAGGATGGATCCTGGCTCTTCCTCGCAGTGCATTGTGAGAGGATAAGAGACGACAGAAAATGGAACCACACGAAGTTTGAACTGTATGTTAGGAGAAGCCTTTTCCCCATGAACAGTGTGGGGCATTGCAACAGGTTGCCTGGAGATGTTGTGCAGAGATTCCTTTGGAGGTTTTCAAAGCCCATCTGGATAAAGGCCTGAGCAACCTTGTCTGATCTCAGAACTGGTTCTACCTGTAGGAGAAGGCTGGACTAGGGACCTCTCAGCCTGAACTACTTTATAGAACCATAAAAATTTTGGGTTGGAAGGGACCCTTAATGGTCATCTAGTCTAACCCACCTGCAATGAGCAGGGTCATCTTCAACTAGAGCAGGTTGCTCAGAGCCCCATCCAACCTGACCTGGGATGTTGCCAGGGATGAGGCATCTGCCACCTCTCTGGGCAACCTGTGCCAGTGTTTCACCTCCCTCATTGTGCAAAATTCTTCCCTTATATCTAGTCTAAATCTGCCCTCTTTTAGTTTAAAACCATTACCCCTTGTCCTATGGCTACAGATCCTGCTAAAAAATCTGTCCCCATCTTTCTTATAAGCCCCCTTTAATCTATGAAATGTAATTGGCTAGACTAATCTTAATTTTAGTATGTCAAAGTTTATCCCTTTTTCTCTTTAGCAAGAATCATTGATTTATAAGAGGTAGCCCTTAATAAATAAAGCCTTTGTGGACTGCTTCTTCATATTGCTGCAAAAGCACGTGGTGTTTGGAAGGTGTTCTGATTGCATAATATCAGGGGTTGAGCTCAGCATGCCGGGCACACCATCAGTAGAGTAAACAGACAATATAGGCAAAAACTGGAAGACAGGTATATATTCACATCTTACTAAATTTTTTTTTAACGTGCATACTTCCACGTAGGGAAGAAGAACTGAAAATCATGTAGGCAAAAGCACTATGTACTTGAAATCCCTGTAGATCTAGGCATGACTTAAGAAAAATAGCTGCCATTACATTAATCTTTTCTTGGTGATGAAAGTAATTTTCCAGATGGAAGATAGGGATTTGAGTAAGTTGTAGTAAAAGCACTAACAATTTCATAACTGGATGTCATTTACGGTGTTGCTATAAACCGCTTGGTCCCATTTTCTTTGGTTATGTTACTGTGAGGACCATCTGAAATCACAGAGTTGTTACGTATAGTTGAATATATATAGAATAGTTTTATTAATATTTTTTCAGGTATTCTGTTTTAATCCTGCATTTTTCGTCTGTTTTCTCCAGAGCTCTGGAGCTTCAGCCATTTTCCCTTAAGCCACTTCTACGACGAGCAATGGCAAATGAGTCTATGGAGCGGTATCGACAAGCATACGTTGATTATAAAACAGTCCTACAAATAGACAGCAGCATCCAAGCAGCAAATGATAGTGCTAATAGGTAACTGCATTTACAAATTTTCTACTCATATCAGTCCAAATAGAAATACAGAATTCAATTTTGCATGTTTTACATGCTCCCTCTGTTCTGTATCCTGCAGAGAGGCATGGTCATCACAATGAGTGCCTTATAACTAGAGCACTGTCTGCTTCATTTAGTTGTTTTCCCATAGCTTCACAGATTTCCTCTGCCAACAGTAGGTTACCTTCTGTTTTTAAAATGTAATATTTTAAGAGCTTTTTTTACTGGTGCTTCAACTTGTTTTCTTTCCTAACTTGTATTTGATACCATGTAAAGTAATGTTTTAAGGTCCATACCTTTTCTCTGACATTTCTGTTTCCTTTTCATATTAGCAGTCTTCCTGTGGCAACTGGAGATTTATGTTAAAGTGTGAATTCTTCAGTATTGCTGCAGTTGTGCAAACAGTGAAGTAGCTTGATACAGTGGTTGGCTAAAAAGCTTAGAGGTGTAAAAAAATATACTTTAATGTTATTTTTAACTTAAGTGTTAATACCTCTAATTCTTGCTGCCAAGAGGCACTTCTCAATTTCTATAATTACATTTTAATAGTGTTAAAGTTAGTGTGTACACACTGTTGTAATTGTGTTCTCATTAACACATAGTGAGTACTTGAGTGCGTGAATGATAGGATTTTATATTCCCTTTTCTTTCCTCTTTTCTTTTAATGGGCAAAAAAAAAAATTATGAAAGCAGAACAGCCATTAATCATTGAGCAGGAGCACACAGGCATGCGACTTGTAACAATGGAATCTAGTACCTTTTTTTTCCTTTTAAGGCAAGGCCACGAGCACTTACATTATTACTTAATGAAAAACTCCATAATATATTTTAAATTCTGCTTATTTGACCAGAGGTGGCCAAAGGAGATCATGACACTTTATCATTTTAGGAGTCTTATTTTTGATAACACAAAAAACTTTTACTGATCTCCCATATCTACACTGATAATAGAGCACTTGGACTGGTGAGATAACTATTTGTCCTGGTATCTGTGACTATTATACTTTTTTTTTTTTTTAATCTTCTTGGCTTATTTTATCTGCAGATACTCTTTTCCTGTTTCTCCTTGACTTGTAACTTGTGTAGTAATAAGCTTATTTCCTCTTTTTCCCTTAACACTCTTCCTTTTCTCCTCTCTAGGCCTTCCTTATGTTTTTAGCTTTCACTGCTCATTACTCTTTCCTCCCTGGCAGCCCATCACCTTAGTTCAGCTGCTTCTTCCTTCTTCTCTTCTGCTGGTAATTCATTTTTGCTTGCAAATTCTTCGTTTCTAAAGCATAGACCTCCTACATAATTGAACTTTTACTATAATTTATTTTTTAATGTTTTATCATTTATGAATTAAACAAATTGTTTATCAAAGTATTAATTTTAATTTCTGAAGTAACAGACCTTTAAAAAATTAATTTTAACAAAAATGATTGTTACTCTACTGCCTTTTAACTTGAAGGGACAACCCCAAAATGTAATTTAATGTTTTTTATATTAGGATTATCAGGTCTTAATAACCTGCTTTTATTGGAGGATTTCTTTGTTTTTAAGTTCCTGCAGGAACTTGCATGGTGATTCTGTAGGAAGGTGACAGGAAAAACTCATCATCCTACTTGTGTCTCAGGGTGGGTTTGATAAATCGTGTTAGGGCTTGTCTTTCTGTACTTACCTAAATAAGCAGGCTTTCAAAAAATTTTAGAATCAAATGGGTGTTCAGTCTGATATTTCTAATAATTTTCATATAAAAGACAAGTAGAATTTTTAATATAAAGCCTTTTTCCTGATAATACAAAGCCTTTGGGTGATCATTTTGCAATCAAAAGGAAATAATTAAGAACGTAAGTGTGTATTTTTATGAAAAGTCAACTGAAAACAAGTGTAAGCACTTATTTGAGTGTTTATCATGTTGATTTGATGATCACAGAATCACAGAATCACTAGGTTGGAAAGGACCTTCCAGATCAGCAAGTCCAACCATTAATCCAGCGCCACCATGTCCCCTAAACCATGTCCTGAAGTGCCACATCCACACGTTCTTTGAACACTTCCAGGGATGGTGACTCCACCACCTCCCTGAGTCATTCAGCCTGATGCTGAATTGTGTCTCTTATTGGTTATGCTGAGGTGATTTTAGATAAATTGGAAAGACTATTTCTTTTGATGGTGTGAGCCAAGTCACAGGAAAATGCATTTTAAGCATGCTTTTGATTAGTGGCATCTTCCTAGTGTTGTGAACATACATGAATTTCCTACACTGTATATTTTGATTTCCTTTTGAGTGTTTCATTATTTGGTTTTCACTGTTAGAGATACAGAAGCTCTAATGTGAGGCTATTTGTTTATGCATTTCCATTTACTAAATTTAAGTTTCATTCCAGTTGTCTCAAGCCCTTTAATATCAGTTAGCAAACTGCATTAGATAGTTTGGGAGCTTTCATTACAAAGTCCTGTATGAGTACTGTACTGTGCAAATACATTTGTTAAAAACTCCAAAGCTGCAAGATTGTTGGGTCAAGTTAGGGTGTTGGTGGTGGGGAATGAGTGTATTTGTCCCAGCTTTTTCATGAGATACCCGTGCTTTTTAAACTAACCATGGCACACAGGTATGCCTTTTTGCAAAAGACTGTTCTTAAATTATTATATTACAAGAAGTCGATTGATCGTCAAACACTGCAGGATGCTTTCTGTTGATTTTGATGAATTAAATCAGGTTTTTTTGTCCAACTTTTTAAGCCCATTATGATAAATGGAGAAAAATTAAACTGGAGGTCAATGGGACCGTGGTTCGCTGGAGAATTATTCCGTTACTTTCTATGGGAAACACCTAAACATAATGAATTGACTTTTTACTATTTGTACAGTTTTGTTTTCTAATAAAATAACCTGAGTAAATCTTAGGGCTTTATTTATGATGGTGTGCCACATTTTTTTTAACAACTGAATTCAAACCATCTTTAAAAAAAAAGTTTTAGTAAAATTGGAGCAAAATAGAACCTGGACAAGCTGATTTGTTGGTATGTCCTATAAAATACTGGATAGTAACGATACAAGTAGAGGAGAGCCCCAGGAAGGGCATATGCGACTAACACACAGAAAAATACTCCTCTTCTTCACTTAGAAAACAAGTAAAACAACTAGGTAATACTACAAAATGTGATATTCTGTGTATGAAGAAACTTACTTTCAGTTAAAAAATCTGGTAAGAAACAGTATGTTTAATGCATCCTTTTTAGTGTATATCATTCTTTAAAATATTTTGGTAATTTCTGTTTTACAATAAAGAAGTTTAGAACAGGTGCTGCTTCTTGTATTGGTTTTTCTATCAGACCCTAATGGGAAAAGAATGTGGTCCTGAGTGCTCTGACTGTGCTGCCATAGTATTATACTGAGGCTTGTATTTGTTTTGTTTTATAGCTGTTATTAAAATATTTAAAAAGAAAACAAACTAAGGAAGAAAACTTGATTGGGTAATTTATGTTAGTTTTATTTCAATCTTTGTGTCACATTTGAGGTTCTTAATTTTTTTTTGGATGTGTATTCATGTAGTGTATTTTTTACACCTGTGTTAGGTGGAAATGGACCTAATAGCCAGTAGACCTGAAATTTGTAGATAGTATCGATGTGACTTGCTTTACTACTCAATTCAGAATTTTCCTTTGTTAAAGTAGATATTAGACTTATCACCAGCTGAACTTGGCTCTTAAGTGCATTTTGAGATTAGAAGATGTTTATCTCACTATTATTCTCATAACTGATTCATATTTGTTTGTTTAAAAAAAAAAAAACCTGCAAAAATTGTAATGGAACCATGAAGTCTTGTATGGCTTTAACCATTATGTTTACTTAGGTCTTTCTCCAAAATGTATCACAGCAATGGGAAGCCTCCAGTTGAATGGATTTTGGATTGAACTTGTCACGTACGGAAATGGTTGACATATATACACACACACAATATGTGTTGGTTTAAGAAAGACTAAACAGTTTTAATGTATTTTCTTTGCTTTTTTAAATGGGGGTAAAGAGTGATTGATTACCGAATCTCTGACTGTTCTCTAAAATGCACCTTAATACCTACTCTGTGACCTGCATTGATTATTTAAAGAATTGTTGTATAAGAGGTTTCATTTGACATCGACAAATTTAGGTACCACACTTCGTCTGAGGATATTGTACTCTACACTTGTTACAAATAACACCTATGAACAGCTGAGAAAAGTAAACAAAATAAATGCATCATTTTTTTCCTACTTATTTATGCATGTGGTAGGCAGCATTTAGAGCTTAGTTGCAAAATCAGTCATTTGCTTAAATATTTACAGATCATACTGAAGTCAGTTTCTTGTCTTCTAAATGCTAGCATAAATACTCTAAAAAGGGGAAAAAGCCTAAATCTTAAATGAGTGTGATACCTTTGACTGCTGTGGCAATCTTTTTTTAAATTAGTGTTAAGGATAATTGGTCTGTTTTTTGAAAAATTGGGAGATTGCATTATTTAATTTGGGTGTGAGTCATGTTGGTGGGGCTTTTCTCTTTCAGAATAACAAAGACTTTAATAGATCAGGATGGTCCCAGCTGGAGGGAGAAACTGCCACCAATTCCAGTTGTCCCAGTTGCTGCTCAGCTACACAGGTGGGATGGAGGAAACTTTACTTCAGAGAATAAGCCAAGAACTACTACAGATACCAACAGAGAAGAACAGTTGCAGATGAATCGTATGTATAACTAATGGAAATATATTTACAAAAAAGAAAACAGTTTTAATTGAAAAATGGAATATGATTTAATAATGTCAAAGAACCTGCTTTAGAAAATATTTATCAGAGATCTTTGTGAAAATCTAGGTTAGATGACAGTCACTTATGTGATTTGGTTCAATGTGTTTTATGGAGCCACAGTTAACGGTTAATTTTTTTTAAGCCAAATGATGTAGTTTGCAGCACGTGATTTCTGAAGTTATATAAAATAAAAGAAAACATAGCAGAAATTCTAATCAGCAGTATATTGCATCTTATCACAAGTATCACTGGTTTTCCTGACATCATACTACAGTTATAACAGTTTTCCACCAAAAAAACACCACCCAAACAAACACCCAACCTCAGTAACATAATCAGCTGCATAATCTGTAGCTGTCATTTAATTGTTCATGAAAGCGTTACTTAGCTCTTCAGAGCAGAAAGGGAAGGTAGACTTTTGGGTGGCCAGCAGTTGGTGAAATGGGCTATAGAAGAACATTTCTGGTTTTTTTTTTTGTTGTTGTTGTTTTTTTTTTAATGATGCATTCTAACTTTGACAGCAGCCATTTAGTAGTCACTTTTCAAAGATATTAGTTCTGGACTTGTTTACACATAAGCTCTGAGTGCTTAACTGCTGTAGGACACTTTTTTCCCTCCTGATTTTTTTCCCCTTCATTGCAGTTTCTGTTTTTCTCCTGCAGTAAATCAGGTGAAGGAAACTTTCTGATTCAGTTTTTATTGACATTAAACATTCTTTTTGCAAAGACCTTAACTGTATAATTTTTTGCTTTTACTTGACCCTTAGTCGGTTTTGAGTTTATTTCAATATAAAGTAGTGCTGAAGATAATCTCCCCTTGATTAACTCAGGGAGGCTGCAATGCCTAACTGGCTTGCTGGCCAAATATGTAGCAGTGATAGGGTTATCTTCAGTAATGCTACAGAGAATTGTTTTTCGTTTAAGAAACAGGAGGCATGTTGATGTATAATTTAAGCTCAATTAAATTGATAAAAATTTTACTCTAGTTTTTAAAAGGTCCAATGACAAGTATTTTCATTGCAGTTGTCAGTACATGTCATTACTGATTCATCACTCTTAAGGATTGGGCAGCAACAGTTTAATTTCTGGGTTTTTTAAAATGAAGTAGAAAACTGATATCTTGCAGAATTATTGCTATTAAACGTAAACGCTTAGTTTGAAAAGTGCTTTTTGTTGTACTGGTTGTACTTCAGGCTTTTTCCGTTATTAAGGAATACAACTTGTTTGATTTTTTTATTTCAATGTATAACCAACCTATTTAAACCTTCGAAGTAGTAACTTTGGATCTATATAACCTTGTGTAACTTTGTTAAGACAGAGAATTTTAAGATCATCATATTGAAAAGTACACAGGTAAGTGGCTCCTGAGAGCACCAGTGGTCATACTTAGCCTGTTGTGAAAATTAATGAAACTGTCCATCACCATCTTCATCAAGTGTGCTCTGCGGCATTTTGACGCAAAACATGTCTCAATCTATTTCAGACTGGGCTTTGGTTAGGCTTTGTTCTTAGAAATATTGAATGAAGACTCTGTAACCTTTTCGTCACTGACGGCTGACTCTAAGGTTGTGGTTGCCTTCTTGGGCCTGTACTAAATCAGTGGGACCTGACCGGTGATCTAGTACACTCACTGTGTTCCGCTCGGTGCCGGAAGCGTGCCAGCAATAATGTTCAGGCAGTAGTTAAACCTCATTGTTGACTGACACTATTTTGCAACAATTGTCTGTTGGGTTTTGTGTCTTACAACTGGAGTTATAGTTTAGTTGTATTTCTTGCATAAGCCTTTTCTGGTTTCTTGTTGTTACTTAATTCTTTCCTCAAGTCCATGTGTAGTTTTCTGGCATAGGATACTGCCGTGTTTTTATAAAAGAACTCAGAGAGTTTAATTATTGATTAGAATTATCTGGTTATATACAGTGTTTAAAACCTGAAGCTTGGGAAGGGACTTATATTCTTTAGCAAGGTACAAAAAGTAGATTTTTCCATTACAATTGGCTTAGAGCTCTGTTACTAATTAGTGTTTGCTCATGACAGAAACATGAAACTGCAGTCAGGATTTCCTCTGCAAACATAGTTAAAAACTGTAGTCTAACCCAGAAGCATATGCAACAAATGATGTGGAGTTTGGAAGGAAAGACAACTGTGGAAAAAAACAATATTAGTTAATATTGTTATATTATGTTATATATATATATAATTATGTTAATATAAAATAAGTTAGGTATTTTAAGGTTCCTTGAAGCATCTTTTATAAATACTTATTAACAGAATATGACTGATGTGATGATTTGTCTGTCATTGTCAGTTTAGCATAATAATTGTGATAGCTGCTTGTAGAAAGACTATTAGATCAAATTATGGCCACCTTGGTGTGGTGGAGATCTAGAAGGCCTTTAGTCCCGCTGATTAAATCTCCACCATTGTAAATAAAACTGGTATCTCAGTGGAGATACATAGTCCCTCTCTACCACACAGAAGGGGTAGACAGAAGAAAGTGAAAATGTAGAGCTGTCTGTTGCATTCCCATTATTTTCAGCAAAATAGTTACCCTCGTGCATGGGGAAGTATGTGTTGTGCCAAATGTATGTATGGTAGTTTATGCCTCTCTTAGAGCAGCAGGAAGATCAGGGACAGAAATGGCAATGTGCAGACCAGTAGATACTCCAGATGCCAGGCATTTATTCTTAGTCTGGGTAGATTATTCCGCTACCCTTAATGAACCGACCTTCTTATATAACACTGTGATCCTTTTGTAATGTAGGTGAGAAAGCTGAGGAGGAGTTCAAGACACTAAAAAATGAAGGGAATGATTTTGTAAAAAAGGGTAAATATGAAGAAGCTGTAAATAAATACAGCGAATGCATGAAGTTAAATACCAAGGAATGTACGATCTACACTAACAGGTAAAGATCCAAAGTCTAACCCCACTTTGTGGGATAACAATAGTTATATATTCTCAGTGCAAATAGCGATTTTGCATCACTTCAGTTACTGTTTTAAAAGAAGGTTTTTTTTTCTACTTGATGAGTGTTTTTAATAACAAAATGGATTTTTTGTTAAACTGCATTTTTTCCAAGGGGAGCAAGTATTAATGTTACTTGATACATATCTTAAAATCTTCATATAAATAGAGTAAGCAATAGTAAAAGTTACAATTAGCGTAGAATTTTGCAGCATTTGTTGAGAATACTGGTATGATTTTAGTTTAAAACTAACTTGCAGTAGCTGTATCTCAAATATGAAGAGTAATAGTTCAGTGAAGATGTACATTTTGAGAAAATAAAGCAGGAACATGGTCATACAACAGCATTATTTTAAAGGTTGACCTAATTCTGTAGCATAATTCTTTATGCTGTAATCTTATCAGCTGTCACAAACTAAGAAGGATTTGATTAGGCCACTACTTGAATGGGAGACTTCCAAGTAATAATTAGGTGCAGAAAGCAGTATTGCTTATTTAATCTAGAGCACGTTTTTACCCAGAATGGCTGTATAAAATCTATACTACATCCATTATGATACTATCACATTACACTAACATAGGCTTTACTTTCAAAATATTTACATATCTGCCTGACTTCAAAATACTTTCATATCGTCCTGAATTCATACTTGAATTGTGACTTTTATTGCAGGAATTGGCCATCTCTAAATCCACCCAGTGATGTTATTAATACTTACTAGTTTTCATGTACTTTAAAAAATACCACACTGAGATTGAATTGTGTGAAGTATTGTAATTAACATTTATGAGTCAGTTACTGTTGGCACTACAGCACTGTAGAATTTACTTATATTGCAGTGTATTCTGTTTTTCTGTGTTAGAGCTCTCTGTTACTTGAAACTGTATAAATATGAAGAGGCTAAGCAGGATTGTGATCATGTTCTTCAGATAGAAGATTCTAATATTAAAGCTTTTTATAGAAGAGCACTAGCGTACAAAGGATTACAGGTGAGGAAAAAGAACATGGCAGGTATTCTTAAGCACTTCTAAACTTGCTTATCCTCTTCAAAGGCAATCAGGTAGTTGTAGTTGATGGGTGAATAGAAAGTATGCAGTGCTGATGATTTATTACTTTGTAGAGCATTAGGTATACATAAAATATTATATAAATATTTCTGCAACATAAAACCCTGCATGTTCACATGTAATAATTTGAGAAAATACAAGAATATAGGAATAAATGAGGCTTGATGGGAGGTTGGTTAAGCAAGTTTCAACTCTAATGTTCTAATATTCTTCTGGATATCGTACTCTTTTTTCTGTCAAGGTGTTCACTGTGTCTTTGCTGATGACAAATGGATTCTCTCCAAGTCTGTCTTCATCTGTTCAAACTAAAATCTCAAGCTTTTGGCATCTGCTCATATTTGAGTGCTTGTCCTATTAAAACAGGGTTTTAATTATCTTCATTCTCGCTCTCTTCCTTCTCCAAACACGTTATGAACCTTTGTCAGTAATGTACTTTCTCACTCTGTGGACAGCATGGGGGCTCAACCGTTTACTTTCCATCTACATGGTGGTGTCTGTACTGTGCTCATCTTACACACTGTTGTTTCTGAATATCCTCTTACCTTATCTTCATAAATGCAGACTTACATTGCTCATATTCATCCTGAATGTGACTGCAGATCTCATGTTGTATCACGAACCATGTTGTTCCTTTTGTCAATCCCTCTGTTGGTTCCCCTTCTTCGGTGATGTTAATTAGCCTCTCCACTTCCGAATTCTTTCATAGCAATCCTTACCCTACCTGTCAGCTCTTACCTGGTATTGAATGATCAGCTTGTCACTTCTGTTGGCTCATGGTGGCAGCTGTCATTGTCTACTTTGTATTAAATTTTAGAAGTGTCTTTAAACAAGCATCTTAAGCGCTTTCTCTCATGTTGCTCTTTGTAACTGGAGGTGATCACTCCAAGCATACACCAAGTTCCCGCAATGTCCATCAAATGAATACTCAGACCTCCATTATGTTTGATGCCTTAACAAAAAAATTCATGATTGTCTCTCAGCTTATAAATCACCTGAAGACAACCTGTTTGTGTGTAGCAGTATACTAACCTGTTCTCATCCTGTGCTATAATTCCAAATGCAAGTCTTAAAACAAAAAAGATCCCATGGTTCCTGTGGTAAACTTGTTCCTCTCTTACAGTAGCTATGAAATTTTCCTTTGATTAATTTTCAGAGAAGTGAAAAGTCTTAATTTTGTGTAAAAACTTTTCTGCAACTTTACCAAGCTACCTGGTATTAATAATCTGTAAACTTATGTTGTAGAAGTTGATAAAGAATTAGTATGAATGTGAGCAAAGGTATATAGTGATTCTACCAGTCAAAAAAAGGGAATTACACACTAGTGAAGAACGTCAAGAATTGGTGAAATAACTTCTGCTACATAAGTTTACAGATTATTAATACCAGGTAAGGGAAAAAAAATACTGTTTTTCTATTATTGAAGTCATAATCTGAAACATACTGTTCATGGATTCCTTCAGAACAGTCTGAGCTGGGGACTCCCAAAATGTTTTGCTGTGGTTGGATTTAATGCTAATTCCAGGGATGTGAGTGATTTGTAAAACCAGAGAAAGCAACAGAAATTATTTGAGGTTGATACATGACTCTGTAATGAAAGATTTTAAGAGCTAAAAGCATGTAGTTTGGAAAAGACCTAACTAAGCTGGGAAGTGTTATTTGTATATAAATATCCAGATATTTAACCACAAAGACTGCAGTGGAATTTAGTGTAGTAAATGAGGGGTTTTTTTACTGAGATGTAGTTAAGGGAAGATCAGGAAAAAATCATGCTGGTATGATGAATTAGGCCAATAACATAGGACACAGGACCCCGGACCACATCTTCTACAGCTGGCAGTCCAGCCTCTTGCATTGGGTACAACAATATTTCGTGATTTTTTGTTGAGAAGTCTGGCAGGCTGCAGTTTTAAATCCAGGAGGGCTGGTTGTTTGCTGGCCCTTGTGATAATTTTCAGAAGCCTATTCCAGAATCTCGTTTCTCTGTAGCTGTGAATCTTCACATCTGTAATTCAAATGGTTTAGCTTAATTAGTACCTGTTTTTTGGGGAAAGCAATCTGCCTCCTTTCTGCATTCATTTGCTAAGGCTAAGTAATTTTAGTTCTTTCACTCTTTTTTAATGACGTAGCAGACTTCAGTTCACTTGCAGACTTGCTGTAATGTCTCTGCACCTTGAATACTGGTCATTGGTATTCAACAAAATACTCCACGTAGGAAGGAGAATACGAGTGACGTGTACACTAGTGCTTTTATTACAGTTGAGATGCTGAGGAAATACCTGGGCTGGTACATGAGGATTTTTTTCATGATAATATGAATGACTTATAGTAACCTTATGATACTGCTTGGGAGCAGAAGAAATATTAGGTCCCTCACACAATAATGTTATGTTGATCTTTTACTGTCTGCATGGTCTTTTACTGTTTACTGTTACATTTCATCCTTATTTTTGATACTCCAGCCCTCAAGGTGTCTTGATTTTTTGAATGTGATATTCCAGTCTTCCTTAGAATTGATGCTATTAACTTCGTCTTTCTAGAAGATTTAGTCTAAAAAATCATAATTCCTAATGACAAAATTTCAAATAAAAACATGAAACAAATGACAAGGCTGATGATTTGAGGAACTGTGTCCTAATACCACTCTATCACTGTGTTTGTCCTTCTAATCCTGTTGTTTATGCCAGAGTTCATAATGTAATCCCAGTCTTCTCAAGTGTAACCAAAAATTTCACTTCTTAAACTGTAAGAGATGGTCTATGGCTTGAAGCCCAGGAAGATTAGGTATATTTTTAATCTAAGCTTAGTTTAACTCTTCTTTTATTGGCAAAGCAAGTACGCAGACTGTTGATGGTCTCACGTTATATTCATCTTGAGGAAGTGTTACACTGTAAGCAATTATGCTTAAAAGCAGCAAGCTTCAATAATCTGTTCTCTGATACAGGTAATATGTTTCTTAGAATAAACAATGTCATATTACATATTTAATACAGAAGTATTTAGTTGCAAAATACTAACTTGCACTCATCCTCAGTTTCCTTTTTTCCCATCCAGTGAAATGACACTATCTGTATTTAGATTATTTTTTTCCTACTTAATGTCAAGATCTAGCATTTTTATTTTTCTTAGTTGTAAAGGACAGTATAGTAGTTTCAATTAATTTTTCTAGTGGTGCGTTTATGGAGAAAAAAAATTTTCCCTTCTACTTACAGAATTACGAAGCCAGTGTTGATGATTTCAACAGAGTACTTCTAATAGATCCAAATGTTCTTGAAGCAAAAAAGGAGCTAGAGGAGGTAACCCAACTGCTCAACCTTGACAGCGGTGCTGTAGTTGGTGGACAGCAAAAGCAAAGGAAGAAAATAACCATACAAGAGGTATACCTGTTCATTTTTAAAAGCGGGCAATACAGAAGCCACGCATTCGAAGAGATAATATTAAAACTTTGGTTTTACACTTGTTAGCTCTACACCTTTTTTGGGTGGAGTTGTATTTTTCTTGTTATTTTGATGGCGAATTGGAGGATTCTTGCATATGATATGTTTTGCGTCCCTTACCTTCTATAGTAAAGCTTGGACTGCTTTTAAGTGTATTCAGAACCACAGCAGAAATGGAAGAAAGTACACTTAGATGGCAGTAAACTTGAGGATATGCTCTTCATAAACAAAAGCTGTTTTACAGAATGCAGCTGTCAAATAGCAGTTTTGCTTTTAAAGTCTGTGCTGCTCGGGAAGCCTCTGGGGCTGTGCTGGCAAAGGTTCATTGTCGGCAGGCATGCTGGCTGTTCTTGTGCCAGTAGTAAAGTTACTGGTCTGAGAATGAAACCTTCTCTTAAAGAGCAAGAGTATGGGTAAAATATCTGTAGGATCTTAGAAAAGGAATACATGATGTAATGCTATGTATTGGATCAAAATGTGAGCCTTTCAGAGTTCTGGGTAGATTTAGGTGATGAAAGGATTTTCTCAGTCATCTGATGTTTTTGGACTGTAACTTTGCTGGTCCTTTAAGAATGGGGGGGGTTTGCGTGTGTGTGTTTGACTTCTCAGTTTAAAATATATTGCTAAAATACATAGTTTATCAGTCTGTACACTGTTATACAGTGATACTGTAATTTGATCATGTAATTTCAAAATGGTGGTATGATAGAAACTGCAGTTACTAATATAGACACAATTTGTTTTATTGAAACACTTCACATTGTCACGAGTTCATGGGATTTTATGTAACTGGCATAAGCCGGGTATAGTGTTGGTTAAGCTCTGAGTTGTGACAAACAAAGGGACCTGGCAAGTGTTTAGAGGGGATTTGGGAAGTGACTGCATTGTTCAGAGACCAGCTAACTACATTACTGGCAGTGGCAATTTTTCCAGGGGTGGGGCAGGAAGCATTTATGTTTGCGATCATCATTACAGCTGCCCCCTTTAGGAAGCCTTCCTTGTCTTATCTGCTGTAGTACAACGTAGTTCTATGAAAATGACTGCAAATAAAAGTAAGGAAAACTTGATTAGAAACTGGGATTTATCATTGTTACTCCATTTTAATCAAGCTATAATCATATATGACAGTGAGGATTTCTCTCTTGATACTAAGGGTTGTTGAAAAAACAGAACAAAATGACTATAAGCCTGAAGCAGTATTTTCCAAAGATGGCTGATCTACCTCCCAGCACAACACTGTACTATGCAGTACAGCGTCTTCAGACTTTCCAGAAAACTTGGCAAGACCCCATTCAATGAATTTTAGTCAGTTTATACTAATTCCACAGCTCTTGATAACTTCAAATGGATTTTAGCAAATGTAGTTGAACCCATGGTAAATTTTCTAGCAACTGGTTCACAAAAATCGATACAGGCTGCAAACTCTGGAGGAGTTAAGTGGGTATTCAGGCAGTTAGACCATGCTGAGCTTTCTCCTTCCACAGCGAGACTCCCAACAGCAACCTGAGACAGCTGCTGTATACCTGTACTATTCTGAAGGCACAGCAGTGAAATGAAACATGGGTATCTGGTGACTGGACTTCAGTTCTGCTTGTCTTCTACAGCTTCACATTTAACATATGTATACAGTCCTCCTTAGCTTTCTCCCAGTGGTCTTCAGGTGTCTTTCTACAGCAAAGTGCCAAGCAGTGAAAGGAAACGTGAAATACACACTTTTGACTACAAACATTTAAAGATGAATTAGAGAGGTACTATTCTGGGGGGAGGTAGGACATAAAAGAAATTAGGTGCCTTTCTTTTATGAAGAATAAAATGCTAACTTTAATTTAGTGACATTATTGATGGATATATCCATGCAGTTTATGAAGCTTCAGGTTATCTGTATGTCCACACTAAAATGATTTGTTGCCGTTTTCTTTATGAAGGTGACTGAATCTGATGAACAGGAAGAGAGAGAGTTTGCTACATCAGAAGATGTTGTGACTGATCATTTTACTTCTAAGGAAGCAGTTCAAAAGTGTGTGCCACTGCAGACCTCTGAGAAACTGCACATTTCTGAACCATCTAATGCTTATGACTTTGGTCAGATTATAAATGCAGTGAATACCAATAAGGATAAAGCTGCTTGTGCAGATCTTTTAACAATTACTGATCCAGAAAAATTGCCAATGCTGCTAAGTAACAAACTCGAAGGAGAAATCCTTTTGATCTTTATCCAGTCGTTGGAATATTATGTAGTTGGAAAAGATCCTGGCCTTGTATATCAGCACCTTTTCTACTTAAGCAAAGCAGAAAGATTTAAGGTAAGAACCTAGATAGAATGCTTACTTCAGTTGAACAGAAACGTAAATGAAATTTTCATCTCTTAAAAGGAAATGATACACTGATTTTGTATCTTTGTCAAATACTATGATTTTCAACCGATCTGTGCTGATTATAAAATAATCTGTTTTTTTCAGGTGGTGCTGGCCCTTCTTAGCAAAACCGAAAAAGAACAGGTTCAGCAACTGTTTGACATACTTTCAGAAAACCAGAATCATCAGTACTCTTTGGAAGATCTTGAGAGCCTTAAAAAGGTTTATGAACTTTAAGAAGTTAAAATTTATTAATTGCATGCATAGTTCATGTTCATAATGGATGTATGAACTCTGCAGACTTGCATGGGTTGAAATGGGTCTTTACCCGGACTGTTGAATTCTATTTTGTTGTGACAGCATATGCACATTTAAAACTTGCTGCTCTTTTTCTCTTGTAGTTGTACACATTTTTAATCTCTAGAATTGAATGCATGTCATTGTGTTTAGTGACAGGGTTCATGTTATTTGGCGTACTAATTTTATTTAGATTGTGTTAATTATATATATAAAAAAATCTTGCATTATATATATAATGTGAAGTGTCTTGATGGTACAATAGATAATACACTTTTAGTCATTGCTTGTTACATCATTTTGTGAGTTGTATGTTCTTGTGATAAAGAATTGCCTTCAAGATAAACGGGTCAGTTAGCGTTGCTAAAACGAGTTTACAAAAAGTATTAACATTTTTCAGATAAACTGTTTCTTCACTATCCCTGGTCTATACAAAACAGATTTAAATATTTTTTGTGCAGTACAGCTTAGCTTAGCAGCAAAGGTGAGTGAATAATCTATCAGCTTGTCATGGAACACTTTGGATCAAAATACTTGTTAAATAAATGGGTATGTTTTTAAAATTATTAACAAGCGAGTAGTTTTTAGTGCACAGAGATTTTTTTTCTGTGTGTGTGGAAGGACCGCTGGTTTGCATGACTTTTGAAGTGACAGTGGTAAGCAGGAGATCGAGTGGCTGCACTTAGCAATAAAATATTTAACTGTGAGTTTTGTAATCAGATGATTTAAAACACCACTATTTCTGTTTACAGACATGTTTATAAAGCTGAAAGTAAAACCATTCTGTGAATCAGTATGATTTTATTTTTTCCAGGCAGTACTTATGTTTTATATTTAATTCTGACAAAGCTCCTTTTTTCAAGATGAAGCTTTTAAATTTTTCAAATACCCTAATGCCGCCTTTGCATGTGTGATATAAATGTATATCAAACTCACTAGCACTGCAGAAATACCATTAAGAGTGTTGTTCTCATGAAAATTTTTTTCAGGTGTATATTAATTAAAAACAAAGTTTATTTCCTGAAAAGTACAATTATAAATTCTCCTTTCTAGTTCTACACTCTTTAGGCTTATAATTCTGATGTGGATTATGAGTTTTGTCTTGGAGTGCCATGAATGAGGCTTTTAATTCCTAAACCACTGTCAGTACAACTGATGTTTTTTTGTTTTTAAATGTCCTCTTTTTATGAGGTTGACATGTGTTCAAGAGAGACCTACCACTCATCTAGTCTATGCATAACCGACGGTACTTCACCAACAAAACGCTGATTTCATTCTTCAGTCATGGTGGCAAGGTGTTCACATCCACTAATTTCTGTGTTAGTGATTTCAATCTAGTGCAAAAATCTTTTCATTTTTTCCACTGCAGTTTAGTGTGTTCAGAGAAGATGCATTGTCTGCGTGCAACTTGCTGACATGGTTTAGAAAACTTAATCTATTTTCATTTAGTAGAGTTCAGAGTGTTTTAATAACATAAGTTGGAGGATTGTACTACTAATAAATAGGTGGATTAGGAGAAAGTTACTTTGCGAAAAGAAAGCATAAAAACCAGCTATGTAGTTCTAAAATAGTCTTAGTTGCTTGACAATTGTAGTTGAGTTACAGCCAAAGTCAAAAGCCACAACATCACAAAAGCTTTTCAGATAGCAGTTGAGACTGCTTCTTAGAAGCTAAAGTTCGTATCTCATTTCTATAGTTCATTTTGACACTGAAGACAAAAATCAGAATCTTTGCAGCAGTAAATCATTATAAAAATATAATTTAGTAAATTTAGGAGACAATCAGACATTATTAAAAAGACAAAAAGGCTTTAAAAGACAAGAGATTTTTAAATGGAGTGTTCTTGACAAATCATTTATCCATGAGGAAATAGACAAATGGGTTTTCATAGATGGGTATACAGTATCACAATTAATTTTAAAGCAGTTTAATCAATCCCTAGCGATTAAACTAGAACTGTAAAAGTTGTCCGGTAGTCTAGGAAGATACCTTTTCTGAAAATACCTTCCAGCGTGAACGTGAGCTGAAACAAGACGTTAACTCAGTTGGAGGTAAAAATGACAGAGATAGGCAGATCAGGAAGCTAAAATGACCCCTCATTAAGAAATTCTAAATGGAGAGCAGCAGCAGTGTTTGCAAGTCAACCTGTTACCTAGCTGGTGGGAGGGAGCTGCCACCAGATGCAGTCAGCAAGAGATTAAATAACAAACATCCCCTGATATAAACCTCAGCACTTGGCCATGCTGTCACCCATCTTCTAAAGCAAAGAGCTGATCATGAGTATGTCTCTCTTCAACAGGTAGTAGTAAGAGGGCAGGTTTTGCTAGGCAGCTTAAACTCAGCCCTAATGAAATCCACAGCAACAACTGGGTTTTCACTTTCTGTGTGTAGTTGAGCCTGATCTCTCCAGTCTAAGGCAGACGGTAAGCTTTGACTGGTTGAGTGTTCAGACAACTCCCAACCCACCCTGAACACTTTTTGGTAGGTAGTGCCTCTAGTACAGCTTAACACTGATCTCAAACAGTATTCCAGTATACACCCAGGTGTTGTCAGGTACCAGGAGCTGCTTTTTAAATTTTTTTTAAGCTCATCCCCATCCATGATCCCAAAAGAAGATGACACTGTCTTGAAGTCAGTTAGTCCTGCATTCCTGAAACTGCCACTAGGCTGGGTGTACGCTTGCAGCAGATCCTGGGCACCAACCCTACTTCCCTCACACTTGGCAAGCAGATGATGTTCAAGGGCCTCACTATCAGAGATGGCCACATTTCTTCCAGTGCCTTATTATTAGCCTCACTCCCAAATAAGCCTCTGAAGCAGAAGCCATTGAAAAGTAATTGATGTAGTAATTGCGATCACCCTGCACTATGGGTAGCAGGCCCCTAAAGTTTTAGGCACTAAACCTTTACTACATCAATTCTTCAAGAGAGCTGATGTGAAACTTTTTACTTACCTGCAAAACCTTGCCTGTCTGATGCTGCTCACCACCATCTCAACTAGGAACTTTTGGCCTTAATGCTGGAAGCTAAATAATAATTTTTTTAAAGTACAAGGGAGTAAAGAAGCAGCTGAAAGATTTATTGTTTTAATAGCTGAAATATGTCAAATAGAGAAAAAGATATTTCTTCTTCTTAAAAAAGCTAGCAACTCTCAAATGTAAGAAAAATGGTCTGAGAAGCTGAGCAAGGAAAAAAGAAAAGCAGCTCAGAGACACATGAGCAGTTTCTTTGTAACACCACCCATGGGCGAGCAGTACTTGCAGTCATGTTGGTGATGTCCCTGCCTCCCTCAGATGCCATTGAGACTGGCTGCTTAGTTCAGGCAGTATTGGAGGGGGGCTGACTGACAGGCAGGACAATTTCTAAAGACACAGAACTTACAAAAATCAAACCAAACAACTTGTTTGGGACTGTACTGCTGATTTGTCCTGGACAACTCAAGCCAAGGCCACCAGGCTTCAAAGCCTGCCCCTCCTTTGGGGCAGGATTAACCTACTGAAAGATTTGGGGGTGTGGAAGGAACTACTTTTAGAGAATGAGTTCCTAAAAGCACTCAGCTGACAGGTAGGGCAGCCTAAGCTTGCCCTTCTTGGCTCAATCTGGGCAACCTCTTCAGGGCCAGGGAGAGAAAGCTCTGCAGCCCTGAACAGTTGCAGCGTGACAGCTGTTCCGTTGGTATTGGGGTTTGCATCCTTTTAAGAATAAAGGATTTTCTTTTCGGAAGAGTGCAAGAGAATGTTGAATGTCATACATAGTTTTGTGGCAGGGATACCCAAATCACAGCTCAGTGTTACTCTCTCAGGCTTGTCACTCACCTCCTCAGCATTAAGATCCACCTTTTTTTTAAAAACAAACCAACCAAACTCAAAACAAAAAACACTTCCTTACAAAAACCTGCTTCAGGAGGAGAACTTTGGTTATTCAGGTGATGTGAACAGCTGAGTGAAGTGTGGTCCCAACACAGCAAATGGCAGAGTGAAAATCTCCTGTATAAGCCGGCTTGCAGTGACTGATTTGCTCGTGAATACAAATCCCTGTTTTTAACAATAGTAGAGAGGTAGTGATTTTTCTTCCTGTAACTACTGAAAGGAAGGCTTGGGCTAGGGAACAGGGTTTTGCACGACTGTTATTTCACACTCGAGATACTTCTGAACTTTGTAGAGAAGCCATTGCCAGGTAGAACAGCTGCTGTCGCCCAAAGGGCAAGAAGGGCAAGGGTAGGAGGTGCTACGAGGGATGAGTGTCATCACAGCACAGTTCCTTCCTTCTCTGGCCAAAAGCTGAGGTCCTGCAGGGCCCTCACCACCACTCTACATACTCTTCCTGCACAGTGGTGCAGGCAGCAGAAGCTGGCAAGAGCCCCGTTACTGGCAAACCACACACTTTGCTCTTATGTGGGAAGTTCTTTTCCACGCATCAGAACTTGCTCTGCTTTCTGTAATCCATTTGCACATACAAAGGGCTACTCTTGGTGCCTGGCAGGCCTTTCAGAAGCACGCAAACTGACATACTTAGACTTGTGCATTAAAATAAAATAATAACCTATTTTTGAACAGCAAGGAACAAGACTCCTTCTCCACTTGTAAATTATGAGCCGAGTCAGTGTAACTGTGCTCACTGCCTGCAAGCTGCAGCTCCCCAAACGGCAGCACAGCTCGGAGCATGGTATGAAACCCCCGTTGCTGGCTGACGGAGTATTAAATACCGCTTCTTCGCAAGTACTCCCTCATTTACTGTGTCTCTGCCTGTGCAGCACTCTCTACCTACCTGTTGGGATGTAGCACATCTTGGTGTGAGGCACAGGCAGTGCATGGCACCAGTGTTGCTCCCGTGCAGCCCTGTGCTAGTTCTCAGTTGCTGCTTGCTAAATGCCACCCTTGTAAATAGATCTGGCAACATGAGGATCTTTTTGCTACTAAGCGAGGCATTAAAGGGGGATGA